CCCCAAACACAGAACAGTAGTATGTGTGTGTGTGTGTGTAAATATATATATATATATAATACACGAGTTTCACAATTTGAGTTGAATTACTGAAATAAATGAACTTTTCCGCGACATTCTAATTTATTGAGATGCACCTGTATATATATATATATATATATATATACTTAGAAAATATTTTAAGAAAATATTATAAAAATATAAGAAAATATTTCAGTGCAAAACCTTTCAGTGACCTTGTGTGTATGTTAGACTGACCTGAACACTTCATCTCCCCAGCCTGTAATGTAAGAGAAGAGTCTCGGGCCGAAGTCTCGAGCCGGGTTAATGGCATATCCGCTGTTAGACCCCATCGAGATGCCGATCACCAGGACAGCTGCTCCTACCAGGACAGGCTCCAGACCAGGAGGAGCTGGTGTGTTACGAGGATCTCCCAATGCAAGAACACACACTAGCAGAGCAGCTGTGCCAATTATCTACAGGACAAGCTCAAGTTAATGTGGTCTGGCTACACAGTTCACTTCAGACCAAACTGACAAACACATCTTTTTAAAAGCCTTGTTAATGTTACATGACTTTGACAGAGTGTGAACTGAGCTAATCCAGGTACAGACACAAACTAAAAATACGCTTTACAAACTATATATGTGACCAGTAGGTGGCACAAAAAATGACTGTGTTTAAAAATACATGCATTCTGTTGTGGCTTCTTTTGGAACAATTTTCAGTGGTTGACAATAACTGATAGTAATGTATATAAAATGTAAGCTACTTTTGCATAAAAGCATCAGAATAGGTAATTCTGTTATGAATGAACATAATTAGCTTTGATTATTTGGTTATGGTGAACTTATGAAAGTATTGCGTCTTGAGAATAGTCTTAGCATTTCAAGCAGTAGATTTCCATGTTTCATATATTATGCTGACCTGGTCCACCACTCCTCCCCATAGACTCAGGTAGTCTGCTGGATAAGTTGAGAAGATACCAGCGGTGGCAGTGGCACCACTAACTGTCAGATGCCCTCCAGTGAAATCCATTATGGCATCTGTGAACAAACACGTATGAGCAGGAAAGTTTCTTCATTTGGATGCACTTGTGTATTTTTATATATAGGCCTACATTACCAGTCAAAAGTTTGGATCGCCATAAGATCACCATAACCAAATATTACTTGTTATGACTAATTATATTAATTCATAACAATGTAAAGTGTAATATATTGTAAAAATGTAATTCATCCCTGTGATGGCAAAGCTGAATATTCAGCAGCCATTAAGCAGCTGTGAAATGTGGTAACCATGCAATACCTTAAAGAGCTATTTCTAACTGGTTATAAAAACTAGTTTTGTTTATATAAATTCATGTATTTAAGTTAATATTGTTGTAAAAAAAATGTAAATAATAGTTTTCAGTAAGCATTATATACCAATTTTGCAGTCTAGTCTTCAGTGTGACATTCTATTATGCTGAGTTGGAGCCTAATTGTTTTTGAATGTGATTACTGAATATGTTTTCAAAATTAATAATAATAAAAAAAAAAATTTGAGCAGCAAATCAGCATATTAGAATAATTTCTGAAGGATCCGAAGAAATAACGACTGAACACTGGAGGAATAATTTACATTTTCATCACAGGAACAAATTAAATTTTAAAATATATTCAAATAGAAAACTGTTATTGTAATAATATTTCACAATATTACAGTTTTTACTGTATTTTTGTTCAAATAAATATAGCCTTTGTAACTATTCCAGACTATTTCGACACACTATTTCCCTGTTTAATACTGTAAAGCTGCTTTGACACAATCTGCATTGTAAAAAGCGCTATATAAATAATGGTGACTTGACTAGACTTTTGACTGGTAGTGTAGATAAGATAGATCAGGTTGAATGAGATTCACTCACCATAATACTGAAGAGCAACAGTTGCTGCAGCCAAAAATGCACCTAAGAGCTGTGAGCACACATAGAATGGAAGACAAGTCCAGGAAAACCTGCCCAGGACACACAGAGTGAGGGAAACAGCTGGATTCAGGTGAGCTCCTTAAACAAATGAGAAATGTATTCATAAAATATGTATATGCAGGGAATTATGTCTTAATATACACAGCTGCTTTAGAGATTTTATACCTGATACCCCTTTTGCCACATAAATCCCAAATGTGGTGCCCAATGCAAACCCGAGGTTGATTGACAGGTATTCACCCTTAGTGTTTTGAGAGGTCGTCACCTGGGCAACTGACCCGCACCCAAAAAGCTGAAGAGAAAGTGGCATCAAGAAAAATGTAAGGAATTATCAAGTGTGAATGTTTTACACAGACACAACGTTTATAATGAAAAGGCTTACGGCACAATAAGACTGCTGTGCATTTTGGTAAGTGAAGTTTCTATTCAGTGCCAAAAATTGTATTAAGTAGTTTTAAGTCAAGTTTGATCTCCAGAATATTGCTGACATTCTTTGCACATTTGCTACAAAAAAGATTTAATGGGCAGAAGGCGTTATATTTGACTCAATAAAGATATACTAAAGATAAAAAAATTGCTATACGTTTTTATAAGTGCTTTACAATTTGAATGCAAACATGTAGGCTATATATAGGCATACTTAAAAAAAAATATCATAGCAATTTCATAAAATTGGGGAAAATTACCAACATTTTGCTAAGAGATACATGTTAACGGCACATATTTCCATATTACAAATACAGATGAAGGCTGACTTACTATCAAAATATAGACCCCGAAAAATTCCGCCAGACATTCTCTGAACAAGCTGCTCTTGATTCGGCATCTCCTCAGCAGACGATCCACCATTTCTGCCCTCTGTAGCCTACTTTCTGTGTCTTTCTGTTCGTTTACAATGAAAGTAAATGCAGGCCAGGACTTCAGTACTCCAGATGTTTCTCAGGGCTCCATACAGAAGGTCTGTAATGAAAAGACCCAGTCAGAATGGTCTTCAAAAAAAAAATAAAAAAATGTTTAGCTAATTATCACACAGCATAAGTAAACGCAAGACTATCTATTGTGGTTAAAGTGTGTGTCTGGGCAAGGAATGACAATTACATGTAGTACATTGCCCTTTTGTGTAATAAAATGATGAGTAGTTTATTGTTAACTTTTACCTGTGAAGCACAGCTGGCATATTCCAGATTTATGCATAAATCTTCTACTATTCATTTTAAAACAAAAGCTTAATGACCTAATTCATACAAAATACCTTACATTTTAAGTGTGTGTGTGTATATATCATCAGAGTAAAATAAAAGATACAGATGCCGCCTTATTTTTAGCTGAACCAGTTATCCATTAACCAATATCTAGTTAAGAAAGAAAACCATGTTTATGTTGTCTCATAATAACATTCACAAGCACATACATCAGTGTATATCTCTCATGCATATCTACTGGCTCAGGCCCCATTTTCTCAGTGTTTTTCCTAATGAACTAGTTTTCTGGGTAATTAAGCAAAGCTACACTAGTTGACATATGAGTAAATATTTGACCCTGAGGTCCATGATTGCTTCCAGAAGAGGTAGTGTCCATGCAGCTGTTCTCAATATTCTCATCATAGTTAGCCTATACAAGTCTCACCAATGGACTAAAATTATAATTACAGCCTAAAAAAAAAACTCTACACCATTGGTTATTCATGTTGGGATCAAAATGGCCCATACAAGTGAAATCAGCTTTTGAGGGTATCTCATATCTGTAGAGATTGTCTTAAATTCTATCTACTTAGGAGATAATCATTTATATAACGGAGTATAAAGTCAATCTCCATAAAGTCGATGTCACTGATGTCTCATATGATGTAGACAAAGATCAAATTGGGTGCAAAGCTAACCAACTCTCACCAGTTATGGCATGATATGCACTATGACCAGCAGTGTGCCGGGTTTGGTGCCTATATCTTTGACCTTTATGTTCCTGTATGTGTTCATTTTTTATGGGGAAATACAAAATTGGTGAACACAAAATTATTATTTTCTGTTTTCACTTTAAATAACTGTTAAAAATGTAATACTGTTTACTAAACTTGTTAGCTTACATTGTCAGCATTGCACTAAATGCTTCAGATTGTCAGTCAACAAGAGCAGACAGGAAAACCTGTGACAGGTAAGTCTCTAGATGTGGCAGAACTGGGTCAGCCTGTTGTGAGACAACACTGACAGATTCTAAATGAAACTTTTTGTTGCTAAACATACCCTGTGAGATCACATTCTGGAAACTGAAGAGCCGATTAACTTTGAGATTCAAAAAAATAAATAGTGCCGTTTGATACAAACCAAAGAAAGTGGAGCGTAAAACACAAATTAAAATATAACAAAATTAATGAACATTAAAGTGTTGTATTAAGTTTTGGACTTACCCGGAGGATAAACACCCCAGGATCTTCATGAGGAAAAATTTTCAGTGTTTTCATGGCCACCTCAATATAATTTCAACAATAATTTAAAAAGCTTTATTTCATCACAACTCAATATCCTTGTTACTCTTTGAATAGGTTAAATCCAGGCTGACTAGTTATGCTTGGCTTTGTTCAGTTCACATTTTACAAGAAAAGCATAGCATTTTTAGGATTTTGACACATCGTAAAGATTTAGAGCTGAAGCGTGTTCATCACTTTTTAAACTGACCTGGGCCCGTATGTATAAAACTTCTCAGAAATGCTCTTAAGAATAGTCTTAAGCTTTGACTTTAGTGTCAAAAAATTCTTAGTAAAAAGTAGGACTTTTATAAGAGTAGGAGACTTTTATAAAGATGCTAAAAGCAACTTTCAGTAAAGTCTAAGACTGAGTCTTAAGTGTTGACTGAGGTGACACTTAAGTGTTGTGAACTATTAGGAGCTGAGACCTCTTTTAACACTTAGGAACCTTTATGAATCACTCTTATTCTTAAGTCTAGGAATAAGAGTAAAATTACGTCATTCTTAGAATTTTGACACACTTAAGACTAAACTTTTACTTTGAGCGGCTTTATACATACGGCCCCTGTTCTCAAAGCACAACAAATGAAAACAAAATTAGAAAAACAAGGCAGATCTTATTCTTTTCTTTATGTTACACAGTGAAACACCACTGAAAATACAATTTACAAATATATTAAACTCCGTCTTATCATCTGCAGTATCTGCTCTTCTCTACCAGCAAACTAAAATTGTCAGTCAGTCCTTTTCAGAACATTGCAGCTTCAACAACTAACCCAAGGTTCAATGTTAATACAATTCTTAAACTATTCTCAATAAAAGTTTATTGAAAGAAAAACAGTAGGCAAAATTACTAGGGCCAATTTGTGGCAGCAAATAATTGTTCTTCACTCCAATAATCAAGAATGGATCTCCACATTCACACTGAACAATTCAATCAGACTGAACAATGTAAAATCAACTAATAATTCTCGTAGCTTGCAGTTGGTGGGTTTGCTGGGAAAGGATGAAAAGAGATCATCCTTAGGTTTGTGTCCACAGCTCCTTCAGCCTCGAAAGACTCTGAAGAACTTGGAAAACTCTGAGAAATCCTCCTGCATGTCAACAGAAGGGTTCAACCCACCTGAAATATGCAGAACATACATTTCTGAATGATTATTCAGGAAAAGCTAGAGCAAAGCATTGCACAAGCTTGAGGAATATTCTGAATTACTTTAAAATGTATAAAAGGATGTTATATAAATCCTCTAAAATATAAAATGTCTATTTTAAATATTCTCTTTGTCTTTTACCTTTAAAGTGCCCCTATTATGGGTAATGAAAGGTTCATATTTTAGTTTTGGGAGTCCCCAACAACAGGTTGACATGCATGCAAGGTCAAAAAACACTTTCATTGTCTTATAATATGCATTTATTTTTACCGTACTTGCTCAACGACTCCCAAAATATTCGCTCAACGATTCATTTTTCCAAACCCCTCCTTTGCATGACGCTAACCTGCAGTGATTGGTCCGATTGGATCATGCCTGTAATGCCTGATAAAGCAGGTTTGTGAGTGCAGTGCTGCTTTGTGTACAGTTGTTACCGGGGAAACCGCTATTTTTATCGCTCCGAAAGCACACCTAGTGGCAAAGAATGAATTAGCATTTTCATTCAGACCAACACGAAAAGACCAACAAGTGGGCGGGCAATATGCTAATGTTTCATGTTGACGTCAACATGAAACGGCTTGGGATTCGTTTTAAAAACGACTGGTTTCAATTATTCAGAGTCGACTCTTTCTTTTGAGAGACAGTAACTTTATACACGGTGCACTTTCAGATTTAAAACTTTGCAGGATGTTTTCCTTCACTTAGAGCCGTGTTACACACTGCATGAAAGGTAATTTTCAAAAATCCGTAATAGGGTCACTTTAAGACCATACATTATATGGGACAGTCACAGGACACTGTTAAAAAGTGGTCTAGAAACCGCTAACCTGGCATGAGCAGACCAGACTGATCTTGCGGCCCGTCTCGGACACCTGGACCGGAGATGGTCACCATAGTCTCTTCATTACCTTCACCGTCTCTGACTGTTCGCCTTTCTTCTACCGTCTACACACACATACATACAATCTGTATTATTGTAATTAAAAACAGGTGTTTCACAGGCATGTTAGACAGCATCTGAACACAAAATGTGTGGTATATTTTGAGCGTTGCTCTACAATATTACCATATTTTTGATCAGAATAACTTTGGAGTACAAAATTATACAGGATCACTCACTCCATCTGGTCTGACCACCTTGGTGACGCTGACAGACTTAAAAGTTGACCTTATCTTTGGCTGTGAAGGTGCTGGAGTCAAGATCTGATCCAGACCACCTGAAGACACCTGTGAGTCCAGATCTGAGGGTGGAACCAGAAGACAAAAGGTCTGGGTGAATTATATATAGCATCAGTCAAGAAATTCATATAGTCATATACAATCTGAATTGTCAGCAGAAAAATCATAGACAAAATCAAAAGTCTGAAATTTTATACTGCAGTGATCCATCATTCTTTTATTTGGAGGCTAAGTTAATTTTCAAGTGTCTGGATATCTAATGTTTCATTAAGATATCCAAACTTCTTCCAGAAATCCAGACAAAAATGTGTGCGCAGAACTGTTCAGAATAGTGAAAAAAAGTGTTGTTTTCTTGAGAATTTGCTTACTGTCTATACTTGCATTTAAATCATAGAAAAAAAGCAAAATGCATTACCTCCATCCTCTTTTTTCTCTCCCTCTTTTGGTTTTAATTGGCCATCTTTCCAAAGATCATGGAACTAAAAAAATTTAATGAAGACAATCAGGTGACAACCCAGCATGAAAAGACTCTAAAAGCACTGAATCTGTAAATAGGTTTACCTTTGAGAAGGGTCTCCACTGAGGAAAGTGGCTGCTGGGATCCTGTGGAGAAGAGGAATGCCTGTCCTTTGGTGCCTCAGAGGGGGGAGGGAGGGGTGATGTGTAGGGTGAGCTGTCAGGAGACTTCAACATGAAATCTCTAATCGGGTTACTACTTCCTGCTCGACCCCTGCCTTTCTCAGCACCTTCCTGAGGAGGCGGAGCTTCTTCTGATGGAGCACCTGTTGGGCACATAAATCCACCTAATCAGCTTTCAAAACCTAAATTAAGATAAGAATCATGGAAGATGAAGAAATGCTTTGAACAAATGAAATGTAAAAATCATTGTGGAACAGAGCAAACAAACGCACCTCTGTGTCCAATGCCATGACGCTCATCAAAGCGGTCTAAACTGGCAAAGATCTCCTCCATGTCCCTGAAGATCTGGCCAAACAGCTGAGGTTCCTCGAAGCGCATCCCGCCGGGCCCAAAACTGAAACCAAATCTGAAGGCATCAACGAACGGGTCCCGATGGGGCCTATTAAAGTCATCGTGGTGAAATCCACTGTCATCATCCTCATCGTCATCATCATCTTCATGAATCATCCCTTCGAAGAAGGGGTCCCTGATCAAAACATTCAAATTAGCAGACTGCTCAGAATTAAACAATGCCACTGCAGTGAATTAATCATTAACTAACCCTAACGAAGGAAAAATAAATACACGTAAAATCAACTTAGGTCTACATTTGTATTTAGAACTAATACTAACAGAATTTTCACTTCTAATAACGGGATAATGAAAAAAAAAAAACGGTTCATTACTGCTATTTTTCACATTCTATAATAATAATAATAATAATAATAATGATCAAAAAATTTGGCCCACTGTTATTTATGCCCTGATGTGTCAAAGTAAAACTGAAAAAGAGTTTGTACTGGGTTCCATACGGCTTCACATATAGTAGCAATTTGTAAATGACTTTGGGGAATAAAACTACACCAACAATGAATGCATTATCAAATCATTCACAACTGCACTGACAATCGAATATTTCTAAAACAACACTCTAAAGTTTATGGTTATAAAAACACATTCACCAAGCATTTACTTTCATTGACACCAATACAGAAACCTCCACAAATAAAAACATTTTTAAGCATGGACGTTTATAACACTATACACAATATTTTAACCTATATAGCGTGTCTTGACAAGATTAACTCTTATATTAGTGTTATTTAGTCTAACAGCTGCTGCTGTCAGGAGGAATTTACACTTTAAACTGTTAGATAGACTCACCTGCGGCCATCACCACGATAATGACCACCGGGAACCCCGAAAAACCCACGAAACAGATCAAAAACGCTCATTTAAGGACGCAGTATCCAGTGATCCTTCACAAACGGCACCATAACAATCAGTTGCATCAGAGATCCAGCACAGGAAGAACAGTAGAGGAAACCTACGAGATCTTTCCACTAACTTCCGGAAAATCCTTTAAAAATAAAAGTCCGCCGTAATAGGCAATCATGATAGACTAATAAAAATTACAAGATGTGGAATACAATTTTAAATTTGAATTGTAAAATAAATAGACATAATACCAGACTATCGGTAGTTGGAAAATAATATAGACATTTTTATCAAGTTTACGATGAATTTACGTGAAGGATTTACATTAGGTGCTGTAAAGAGAATCTAATGCTAATATCTCTAAAACTACAGAGGATTTAAAAACTACAATTTCTTTACTTCACAAAATCATGGAAACATGATGTGATCATTTAAGACGTTTTTTTTTAAATGTGTAAATATCAAATAAATAAAGGTTAACAAAGTATCATGATTTTTTTTTACCCCTCACACCATTTACTTGAACAAGGTCCATACCATTTAAAATTCCCGAGAAAAAAAAAAACTGCAAAAAACACAGAACTAATTTTGATTAAAGTTAGCTTGAGAATAAATGAATTTCTCCACCATAGCAGTTTATGCACTTTAAATAGTTTGTTTAAACAAAATGTTAGATTTCTCCTATATGAAGCAAAACAGCTTACTTGATTGCAATGCAGGGCTGTACAGTGCGACATATATGCACGTGCTATGAAAAAACTGGTTTGTGCGATGAATAAATTTAGCACTTTAGCACGCGTGCGAATGCCATACAGTTTTGCATTTTCATAACACAGCCGCTTAATAATGTGAAGTGATTTCGTTGTGCTTGTTTGTGTGTGTGAAATTGATTATATTTGGTTTAAGGGGTGTACGATATGACGATTTTTGATGGTGGACGATTAAAATGTCTCCACGATCTGCCTTTGAAGAAATATCGCAGTATCGTGCTACAGCGCACATTCTATCAGCTGCAGTTCTGGCGCCGCCGAATCAATATTCTGTACAATGCGACATACATTCACATTTTGATTTCATGCGGACTTTAAGACTTAACTCAACTTGTAAGTTGTCTTTCGCGTCTGATTGATTTCGCGTCTAATACTGTCAAAAGCACACAAGGTTTACATATAAACACAGTTAGTTATGTCCAGGGGCGGATCTACCGAGAAAAAGCTGTGCCACCCCAGAATTATCACAGAATAAAATATAAATGTAAGCAGTGTTTCATGTGCTACTTTTCAGCCGCGGCGATGACAGAGTAACGCAAAATAATGGCAAAAACACGTCTTTTAATAAACTGTGCACAGTGTTTGCACGCGCACGCAGAGTGCCAGTGAGGTCGGCTTCATTAACAAATGACTCTTATGAACCGGATCTTTTTGAGTCAAAACCACAGCGCGCGGCTCAGTTCACTAACGAATTGTTTTTACATTTGTTTGTGTATCAGATAATTACTGCTTCTCAGCTAACTCAGAAGTCCTCTGAGAAATCTAATCCCGTCCGGATATGTCTGAGATTCATCGCGTAATTGTTTGGTGATCCGATTCTCCGTCCGCACTTTCATCATGGATATAAACCGGAACAATAACATGAATCGATGCCGATAACGGAAACTAATGGTGTTTGAAAATGTTTGCTTTTGAGATGTGTTTGTGATATTTTGAATGCAGTGCTTCATTTTGCAAGAGATGTGAGGCATTTTGCATTTTGTGTGTGCAATTCTTGGATTTGTGTGTAAAGTTTTGAAGAAAAAAAAAGAGGCAAAGTTTTGAAAATGTAAGAAGTTGAAAAAAACCTGTAAGAAAAACTGTAATAACTAGATTGAAAAGTTTGAAAGACAAATGTATGCTGGCTTGTCTTAAAGTCTTGTTTAAAAAACGTAAATGGTTTGGTCAGTTAGATGTTTGCTGAAGTGTTGCTAGTTGGTTGCTAGGATATTGTGTGGTTGCTAGTCTCTTGCTATGCAGTTGCTGGGGTGTTGCTAGAGTATATGGTTGATACTATAGAGTTTGTTCTGGGTGATTACATACATTCCCACCTCTGTTAATAACAGAAAATCAAACCTTGTTTTCAAAACTGATCCAGTTTCAGTGCTTTCATATTATATTTCTTTCTAATGTCAGGAAATTCAAAAGTTTTTGTTGCTCTTAAACTTGCATTATACCATCTAAGTAACCGATGTAATTTTAATAGAACCGCATGTCTTCTTTAGTGATACAAGCTCAGAAACATTTATAACCTGTTGAAGTTTTTTTATGTTGTGTTTTGACTTGGTGCCGTGATGAATATTGAAATGTTATTTATTTTTTCATTTTAAACAGTATAGATGATTACTTAATGGTAATATAATATTTGTGAACACACCCGTGTATGTCAGACCATAAATCCCCAAAAACTATGCATGGGGGCTTGCTTTGGTGTTGCCACCCCTCATAGGCCCCATGCCACCCTAAAAATAATTTTCTATATCCGCCCCTGGTTGTGTCTAAAATGAAAGTAAAACGGTTGAGAGAAACGGATGCGTGCCGCTCTTAAAGCGACAGTACTGAACATGCTGCCGCTTGTCATTAAAGCGATAGTTCACCCAAAAATTAAATATATGTTATTTACTCACTCACATGTTGTCCCAAACCTGTATTAATTTCTTTATTGTGCTGAACACAAAAGATGATATGAATATTGAAATGTTATTTATTTTTTCATTTTAAACAGTATAGATGATTACTTAATGGTAATATAATATTTGTGAACACACCCGTGTATGTCAGACCATAAATCCCCAAAAACTATGCATGGGGGCTTGCTTTGGTGTTGCCACCCCTCATAGGCCCCATGCCACCCTAAAAATCATTTTCTATATCCGCCCCTGGTTGTGTCTAAAATGAAAGTAAAACGGTTGAGAGAAACGGATGCGTGCCGCTCTTAAAGCGACAGTACTGAACATGCTGCCGCTTGTCATTAAAGCGATAGTTCACCCAAAAATTAAATATATGTTATTTACTCACTCACATGTTGTCCCAAACCTGTATTAATTTCTTTATTGTGCTGAACACAAAAGATGATATTTTGAAGAATGTGGGTAACCAAACAGTTGCTGGTCCACATCGACTTCGATAGTAGGAAAAAAATATTATGGAAGTCACTGTGGACCAGCAACTGTTTGGTTACCCACATTCTTCAAAATATTTTTTTTTATATTCAACAGAAGAAAAAACTAATTCCGGTTTAAAATAACTTGAGTAAATGATGGTATAAAAATAAAGCACTATGACAGAGTTGACAGACAGATTTTTCATTTTTGGGTAAACTATCCCTTTAATATTAAAAAACAAAACAAAAAAAACAGAAAAATCACTCACTGCTCATGACTGATGAACTTTAATAGGGTTGCTTAAAAAAAATTATAATTGATGTATATAGTGTATTATTTTAATATTTAATGTTACTGCTAAATACTGTACCTGAAAAATAAAGCACTGTTTTATTTGCATATTATGTGTTTTTGTAATGTATATCTTATGTTCTTATTTTCTAATAACAAAGATAAAATAAAGATTTTTTTTATCTTCGCCCACTTTGGCCTAAATGTCTGTCATTCTTTTTTATTTTATCGTGTTAACTTGAAAGGTTTTTTTTTTTACAATAGGGAAATTAGATTGGCTGTACTGCTCAGGCAACTTGCAAAATAGTAAAACCAACATGACAAAGAATCGTGATAAAATGGTGATATTCCTGAATAAAATGGTGATATATTTTTGCCATATCGCCTACCCCTAACTTGTGCTACAAAACTTTCAACCTCTGTAGCACCAGTGCTATGTGCAAAAAAAGTTAACGTACAGCCCTGCAATGTTTGGCAAACACAATATATATGACTATTCACAATATGACTATTCACAGATGTCCTTCTAAATGTGTTGCAAGCCATTTAATTCAATACCCCAATCAACACTTTTAACAATCACTTTGGCAAGACATCCTTTTTATGTACAACAATAAATTGACATTTCAAGATGCATGCTGAAAAGACTTTTTTTTTTTTAAAGATCTTTGCCAACTAGCCATCTCATGTTGGGTTCAAAAGATTTTGGCTACTTTTGTTTATTGTTTGCAAAGCAACATTTAAAAGGCCTAAAACTAAAAGACAAAGAAGCACACTTCAGTTAAAAAGGCACACAATCATAGTTTTCTTAAAAAAGACATTCACATCCAAAAATGATGAAAATGTCTTTTTCTTGTTTATTCACTTAATATTTATATATATATTTTTTACAAAATAAAAAACATTATGAAACAAAAAAAAATGCTAACAAGTCTGTGTGTAAGGATTCGAGAGGGGAGAAAAGAAACCATCAAACATTGACTACAGTACTTGTGTTTTTATATATATATATATATGTACAAGACAAGTTTATCCATTTAAATTTTTAAAACGCACAGTACAAAAAGAAAGTCACTGACAAAAGAAAAAAAAATGAGAAAAAAAAATACCCATAGTACAATTCTGTCCATCAGCACTTTCCTAATAATCATATTACTAAAAGAATATATTTGGGGACAGAAGGTGGCGCATTTCAGGGGGAGAATGACTGCAGGTATGAGAGGAGGACAAAGCCTGTGGAAAAACACACAGGGTGGCCGAAGAAAACCGAATGACCAAATGAAAAACATCAAAACGCAGAGGTCAAAAGTCATGCCTTAACATAATCCAGTCTCCCTGCTATAGGAAAGGCGGTTAATGAGGACCAAAAAAATATCAGTTTGCAGAAAATAAGTCTAAAGTATAAGGTGACCAGTGCACTTCTCACATCTGGAGAGTACAATAGGCTCCAATAAAGAAATTAAAAAGGAATACACATTGAAGCCTATTCTATAAGTACAACATTCATACACTGGCCACCCTGACGATGCAATTCATTCATTCACACACAAAATAAACCCAAACGCACACACATGCGCACACACACGCAGTACAGATCCGAAGCCTGTGAACTCACCTTTACATTTTTTTTTTTCCATATATCCATTTATATTTGGTAAAAAATAAACTTCACAACTGCACTAGCCGATTTAGAGTGATATCTTCTTTTCCCAAAATAAAATTAGGTAAAAATGCATTGCAGGGGGAGAAACCGAGGAGATGCATGTACATTTGGATCGCTGATCAAGCAAGAAGCAGAAAGGAGGGAAATAAACAGAAAAAAAAACTGCCCTCTCTCCCTCTAACAAACCTCTCTTTTTCATTTTATCCATCAGTAAAAAGAAAAAGAAGAGGGGGAAAAAAACGAAACTTTTGTCCTTTTAGAAAACAGATCTATGTTACATATGCCAGAAAGAAAAAAAAGTTTTTTGGGGGGGCTTTTTTGTATTTTGAACACAATACAAACTCCAAATACTCAATACTCCGATCATGAAGGCCTAAGTAACGATCCATATATTCGTGAGATCACGCTCCCCGTTAAGACTTCTCCCCCGTGCCCCTTCTTCAAGCGGCGCCTTACAGTTCTCTCTCTCTCTTAGGACAGCGCCACCAGTGGAATGGAGTTGTTACTGCAGGGTGACCGTGCAGAGAGAGGAGAGGGAGCGCCGTGGAGGACAGAGAAAAGGGGGAGATATCTGGGGAGAAAGGAAAGGTTCCACTAATCCAGCCTTTGGAACACCAGACGGGGCAGGACAGGGTATTAATTGCCTCCCCAGTTGTAGCTGTTGTATCCCGACTTGTTGATCTGTGCCTTCTGTTGAAGGGAGGCATTCTGACTGCGTTGCCCAGAGCCACTCTGAGAGAGGAAATATTGAAATATTAATAAACTAAAGATATTTCATATATTTTTTTTAAAATGTACATTTACATTAAACTTTGGAAGGGGCAAATAATATAAATAAAACATGACAACAATTTGGAAGGGAAATATAATATAATAATTATTATTATTATTATAAACCATTCTAAATCAAACAAGCAGCTTTGAGTTGGAAGGGGAAAATGTGTAATAATCATAATATTAATAATAATCAATTATTGTATAAAAGTTTTTTTTGAAAGATAATGTACATTATCTGTGGCTCCACATTCATAATTTCAAGGCTAATCTGAGGCAAAAACTAAAAATTAAAATTAAAACCACACACAGACAACACTTGTAAATCGATTTGCACGAGGCACAAAATGGTACACAAGCAATAATTACAATAATAACACTTAAAACTAATAACTGAACCAACCCAGATGAGTTAAGTGTTCTTAAGACTGAAAAAAGTGGCTGAAGAAACCGTAAGATGACTAAAGAAAATCAGTGAAGAGTCATTGAGGATGGGGTAAATTCCCTTAAGCATATAATTATGATAGTACATTTGAAAACAATGCTCTCCGCAATAAACCACAAGACACTACAGGAATTAAAGTTCCGTTGCTACGACGTAACCCGCCGCAGCCGGAGGGTGGGTGGGGCCGCCACTCCCAAGTGCTGAGGGCAAACTAAAGGAAGCGCTGGGGGTTCCTGTGAGGAAACCCTGCTTCTCAAAAGACTGTGGGGACAGATCAAGACACTTTTGGTGACCAAGTTAATCCAACAAAGAAAAACACATCATTTTGATGAGCATGCTCACCTGCGTCTTTGTGTAAACAGACCCTGAAATGTCAGGGACTCCTGTGTTGCTTGATGTCACAGAGACACCTAAAGCAGAAAAGTCAAAAAACACAAAATGGTGATCGCTGAAAGCAGCAAAACATCAGTTAGCTTGAGACAGACTGACCCTATAATGCTGACTTGTGTATGATTAGTAGTATGAAATTGATAAATCCAGTAAATGAGGAATGCATATTTAAAGACGGAAGCATAGAAATGTTTTCCTCTAAGAGGATTTTTGGGAAAATTGTGTGTAAAAAATGCTCATTATCTGTGGCTCCACATTCATAATTTCAAGGCTAATCTGAGGCAAAAACAAAAAATTAAAAGAAAAACCACACACAGACAACACTTGTAAATCGATTTGCACGAGGCACAAAATGGTACACAAGCAATAATTACAATAATAACACTTAAAACTAATAACTGAACCAACCCAGATGAGTTAAGTGTTCATAAGACTGAAAAAAGTGGCTGAACAGTAAGATGACTAAAGAAAATCAGTGAAGAGTCTTTGAGGATGGGGTGAATTCCCTTAAGCATATAATTATGATGGTACATTTGAAAACAATGCTCTCCGCAATAAACCACAAGACACTACAGGAATTAAAGTTCCGTCGCTATGACGGATTTCCGTCAGTTCATAAAGACAGTCACTTGCTTCATT